GCGGCTAGCAGAATGTAGTCTTCAGGATTCGAGCTGGGCTGTGGCCAGTCAGAGCATCAGCTGCAAACTGGCCCATATGTATGTATGTGGAGTCAAGTCACAACCTACTTATATTAACACCAGTGAGGGGCCTTTAGGGCAAGTGAGACGCAGAGCTACCATTACCTTCCTCTGCAGAGTCTTCCTTGGTGGTCTCCCTTTAAAGTACCGATCCCAGCAAGGGGCTTTCAAGGCAAGGGAGAAGCAGAGGTGGTTTGCCATTGCCGCCACCATTTTGTTGTAGTGGTTAAGTGCGTGGACTCTAATCTGGGAGAACCGGGTTTGATTCCTCACTCCTCCACTTGCACCTGCTGATGTGACCTTGGGTCAGTCACAAGCTCTGGCACAGCTATCCTTGAAAAAGAGCAGTTTGTGTCAGAGTTCTCTCAGCCCCACCTACCTCACAGGGTGTCTGTTGTGGGGAGGGGAAGGGAAAGGAGTTTGTAAGCCGCTCTGAGACTCCAAGTGAAGGGCGGGGTATAAATCCAATCTCCTCCTCCTCTTCCTCCTCCTCTGTAGAGCCTTCCCTGGTGGTCCCCCGTCCAAGTACTGACCCTGCTTAGCTTCTGAGATCTGAAGAGATAGTGTCATGCCATGCCATACCATACTGGGGAACGGTCATCAGAATAAAGGGGAGATGAAACATTTTTTGACCAGCCATCTTGCTGAAAGAACATAAACTCGTTTTTTGCTTTCATGCGCCTCTAAAGGCAAATAAGTCACTGAAGGACTTTGTCACTCGGGTCTCGAACTGCTGAACTTGCCTGCTCTTGGCAGTCATCTTCTGAGGGTCTACTCTCCGCGATGGCCATGGATGGGGCCTATTCTGTAGCGCTGCTCCATTTATTGAGTTTCCCACGTGGTGCCCCCCCCCCCCCGGCATCAAATGCAAAAACATTTTTTAAAATTTATTTTCAAAGGCAATGGATGACCATTCTTCTTGTTTGTACTCCCTTATTAAGTCTCTCCCTTTC